CCTGGGCGTTAATTGAGTGCGAGAACTTCTAAGTGTGGGCGATAACTTATAAGTGTGAAAACTAATAAGTTTGAAAAGTTCTAAGTTGTATTGTGTGGTTTGTTGGCAAACGGCCGCGCAGGCTCGAAAGAAGAAGAGGTTGGTGTATGATTGGTGCTTTGCGAACCGAAGTGCGGGGTAATATGAGCTGGAGGCTGGCAGATGACGATATATGTTGAATGGACTTGTAGGGATAATATTATATATTTCAAAAATGGCAAGTACGTATGATACAATGTATGAACATATGGTATGGCTCTCATAGTCGCTGTAGTGGTTCAGGAAAGATTGATGGGAAGAAGTGGTCAGTAAATTCCCGTTTGAAGCTTGGGCCAAGTGAGTCGACAATGGAAGATATGTGCTGAGTCAATTCGGGCCGGTGTTGACAAAACACTGATACTATCAAATGTTCCATATATTCGCTTGCTGACCTACTAAGCGAGGATTGGGGTAAGCCAATATCGCACCAGACCACGGTGAATTTGGTATGTGTTGGCTGGCCTGGGACGGAAGTATCATAGTCGGAACCAACAAGCGCGATGATTTGGTTTGAACCGATATTTGGAAGTAGTACTTCAACAGCGTGATTAACCGGCGTATGGGGAACATCTGTTGATGTGTCAGGGACGGGTGAGGGTACAGTGATTCTTCAACATGCTGGAGAAAAGATTCAAGGTATTCGTGAAGGGTCCAGATACCGTGGAAGTCGTGGCACTCCTGTAATTGCTGAAGGAGGTCCGGGCCAATGGGCGGTAGTTTCGGGCCTACCAGGATGCGTCGAATCAGTTGTTGGATGCAGGTAAAGTGGCTGGTAGTAAACTTGTGGCTACCGGGGCAGACAGGGCAGAGACAGCCGTCGGTGCGGTAGTCGAGCAATGTGAACATGTACGTATTCGTTACAATCATAGCACAGAGCCGGATTGGTGTAGACTCGAAGCAGCGATTGAAGCTGTTGTGTCTGGCTGTGTCTCGGTTTGATGTTGGCGGTTTACCCATAACCAGTTGGTAGTAGTATTGGCGCCGGGCCATTGCCGCGATTTCCTTGTTGGACCAACGTTTTGTTGAGTTATTCATGATGTCGTCACAGCGTTGACGGAGGGCTACATGGTCGGGTGTACGCCCGCCTGTGGCTTTGTGTACAGTTTTCAGGTGAGCATAGATACTGTACGGGAAGCGCAGTGATGGGTTATCGTTGGCCCAGGCGGGTTGCGTCAGAGGGGTAAGTGGATTTGTGCTGTCCATTGAGTCGAGTTGTATTCCCAGACAACCTCCGAGGTAGTCCACGAATGGTCGCGACTTGTAGGCTTGAAACTGAGCAGATACACGATTTGATTGGCGGCAGGATAGTATAAATACGTGGTTAGGTAGACGTTTATTCAACTATTGAGGAAATAAAACTAGGTTCACCGTTACATTGTGTTTTGAGTCGATCTAAGATTACAGGGTTTTACAAATTATTTAGTTGATTTTAGCTTTTTTTTCTTCATTTTTCAACTGCCTGCTAGTCTGAAGACTGCCATTTGAAAGTTGTAAGTTGCAGCTTGCAACTGTGTAACAGGATGTAGAGGCTGCACTGCTGTATAACCACAGACAGTGATACAGGCTACAGGTCGCAGGAGTGCCTTGCCACCCCTGACTGCCTGTGCAGTGTGCAGTTGTACACTTTATAGGGATAATATTATTTATTTCAAAAAATGGCAAGTATGTATGATACAATGTATTAACATATGGTATGGCTCTCATAGTTGCTGTAGTGGTTCAGGTAAGATTGATGGGAAGATGTACAGGCTGTACTGCCTGCTGCAAGTTTGCAACTGGAATTAAATATTACACATAGCGCGGAGATTCGCCTATGTATTTTAAAATAGTAAATACATTGTACAGTGGGTGACTAGGCGGTTGTCATATTTTTTGTAAAAATATGAGAGAGCCAAACTGATTTTGAAAAATTGGATCTTCCGACGGTCTTCAGCAGAGTACTACATAAATAATTTTATATATTGAGCTGATATGATTGTCAAAGTTATTCTCTTGTGGGACTCCTGCGGTCCAGCGACTCCCCACTCCGTCCCCAGTCCCCACTCCACACTCCACAGAGTCTAAGTTGGAGTCTAATACTGACGCTATGACTATGCAGCCGGCAGTTGGTCCCTCAGATTCGGTCACTCGGATGATTCATTGATCCCGGATCGGGCGGATCCGGATCATTCCTCTCTCATTCTTAGCCCCCTGTCCCGGAGTCCTGAGTCCCGAGTCCTGACCCTGTTGTCAACTTGTGTCACTGGACTTACTGTGTTGCAGTTGGACTGGTGGCCCTCTACTCTCTACTGCTAGTAATGCCGACTCAGTCACACATTCAACAGCCAACACTGAACACTCACTCAACAGTCAACAACAACTCAACTGTCAACACTGTCAAAAAAGTGACAACAATCAACTGACTCTTTCTCAAGTTTCGTCTCCCCCTGGACCTCCAGTGTCCCTCGCCGGCCCACCCCCCAGAGGCGGCGGCCCAGCAGAGGAAGTTCATATTTTAAAATAGTCTCTTGGAATGAGTTGACGTATTTTTTTTGTTTTCTTTTTGTTTTGTTTCTTATTTGTTTTTTTTAACATGATGATGGTGGCACTCTGTTAAAAATTGAAACAAAACTCTCGTCTGTATTATTGCAAGTTGCAACACAAATTGCAAAGTTGCAAGTTGCAAGTTGCAAATTGCTGGAAAACAATATCTACTTTAAAAAGAAAAATTTAAATCAAGAAAATATTACTGTTTCGTTTATGTTTTACTTTTATTTAGTCTTTTATTCTTATCTGGCTGTCCTGAGTCCTGACAACTCTGGTCTTCTCTAAGATATACATATATGACTCCGTACTCCGTAGTCCATTTATTTAAAAAATCACAGCCTTCTAAAAACCCTGTCAAATTTAGAAGGCTATGAAAAAATAGTTAAAAAAATACGGTATCGATAATCGATAGTTCCATACTCAATACAGTCATACATACTGATACAATTTATAATTTGTTTTTAAAAACAAAATACACACAGTGGCAAACTGGCAACTTTTGACTTTTCTCAGGATTCAGGAGGGAGAGAGTGTGTGTGTGTCGGCCTCTCTGAGACTCTGATGGTAGCCGGTAGGTGTGAGCCGGCGGCTAAACTACAAATATTCATACAGTTTTGAAATACATACACAAATGTAAAAGATAAAAGAGGTTCTATTCATCTATGGGCAGTTTATTCGTGCACTTATAAATAAAAGCATGGTTTTCTATTTGAAACGGAAACGTACCAATCGAATCAATGGAAGCACATTCAATTCTAAATAGTCATTAAGGAGTAAAGAGTAGAGGAGAATTCAGTATGTACATAGTAAATAATTAAAAATAACAATAAATAGTTTAAATAATATTAGTTTTAGAGTTTAAAGACTTGTTGTTTAAAAAAAATAGTTATAGTACACAATACACATCATGGCCTCGTTGACCTTGATCAATTTTCAGAAGGCTATGACATCATGTATAAAATATATTTACCTGGCTTGAGGTGGCGACAGTGTCGCCAGGTTCAACAGGTAAACGACTGTTGGATTCCGTCGGAAATTATCGTGTCGTTAACCTCTAGTTGTTATGGTTTTTATTCAGGTCAATACATATATTTCATTGGCTAGAGAATAAATTAAGCCTTTGCATTGGTGCATATTCAAGGTCTAGTCATTGCTGGCGACAGGTTACGGAAACATGACGGAAATGCAAAATGTCATGTCGTTTACATTCGGCAAGTAGGCAACGGTGAGCCTGATTGCCCTAATCACAAATTCACAGCGAGTACATACTACATAAATACAGCCGTACAGAAAACAGAACTACAGATACTGCATATTTAAAAATACATAATGCATTCTGCAGTCAGTACAGTACATTAGTAAATACATTTTGGTTTTATATTATTTTTAAAAAACAACAACAACAAAAAGGGTTTACAAAAAGGGTTTAGGGTTTTAGTTTATGGAGCAACGCACAGCCAGGAGAAAATAGTTATATTATTTTATTTTAAATATGGTACATAAAACAGTAAAATACACGCAATCAATCATTCAACACATCCTCCGGACGGCCGGACCTGCACCATTTTGTTTTTACTACAATAAACCGCAGCCCAAAAGTCCGAACCTTTTTACGAACAAAAAGGTCAAAATCGACAATGCTCAGTTGCTGAGGCTCTGACTCTGAGCCCTGAGCCCTAAGCCTTGAACCTTTGTGTGGCCTGAGGGCAGATATTTCATATTAGCACCCCCCATTTGTTTAAAAAAACAAAAAAAAAAATTAATTATACAATATGTATTGAGGATTTGATTTTGAAGTGTCCATAGCTGGCGACCTGGCGTATTTTTAAAAAATAGTTTGTGTGCGACTGTGCGTAGCCATACTGTATATAGTTTTTTTTCTTCAAAACATAAAGGCACCTTCCAATATCGGGCTGCATTAAGAATATGTGTCAATTTGACATTTGTAAATAGTAACCAAACGTAGACTGTCGTGGCGTCGTGAGGCCTAGCCAGTAGCCACACCACACACAAGAGACGAGAAAGGGCAAAGCCTGGCCCATTTGCCAATATGTATTTAACTATTTATGTAGCGTACTTTCTGTTTTTATTTTATTTAACAAAAATCGCGGTAGATGCTATACTTACCACCAGTACATATCACTACTACATACATACTTCGACTCTTCGAGTGAGTCGTCGAGCCTTCGAGGTACCGAGTACCGACTCGCCGAGTACCGATAGATGGGCTTGTTATATCTTCCTTCCATTGATTGATGCTATTAGTTACTCGAGCCAATCAATAGCTATACAATGATCGAAAATACCCGTTTGATATAGAAATATTTTTTTGGTAGAAATTGGTCATGTAAAAAGTTGCCGACACGACCTACAGACAACAGTCTGTAGACTATTTACTTTTAGTGATAGGCAGGTAGTTCGTTGTTAACGAAAATATCCGAGTATTCATCGGGCGTTCGAGCTATATATTTAGTCTACTGTGTGAGAGTCAAGGGCTTTAATGTATTGTGCAGAATACTGTGTACCCCGCAGTTTGACACACAGTTCATCGTGATTTTGGCCGAGAAACACGTCCGTAGGCGTTTGTCAGAATAGTACAATGTCGAAAAAGCCAGCCTTTATGGCTACTAAGGGCGCCGCAGTTACTTTGGAGGACAAAGAACTCTGGGGCAAGTTCTATGAAAACACAACGGAGATGCTGGTGAATGTGCGCGGTAAACGATTGCATCCTGAACTAAAATTGAAGGTGTCGGGGCTAAAAGCCAAGCAAAAGTACCGAGTTTGGCTAGAATTTTCTTCAGATGACGACACGGCATGTTGGAAATGGGACGATATGGCTCAAAAGTGGAATATCGAGGCTAAAGCTGGTATGATTATTTTACCGTATTTTCCTGTGCATGCGTTTTATAAATTACGTGTGTTCCATCTAAGGTTACCATCTGAGATCGAGTATTGACGCTATTTCGGCTTCAATGCTATACTTGTATCAACTTCCTGATTTGAAGGTTCACCTGGCATCGTTTTAGCTTTAGTTTTGTACCTGTCGGTTGATCTTGTCGCATCCGAATCGTATGATGCGCGTATTTGCCATGTGACTATATTAGCGATATGAAGGTATCCCTTAGAAACGGTCAGTATTCCTAAGCCGTGTTCGGGCTTTTTGTTTTCATTATCGTCCCATGGTTTGAACTGTGGCTCATTGGTTGTGTGTGTTTAAGATTGTTCAATGGAATCCTGCGTGGTGTGATTCTTTAAGTAAGGCAAATGTGTGTAGTTAGGTAAGGGTTCGATTTCAATTATAAATTAAGTCTTACAGATATTAGCTTCTGACGTACGATACTATGATTACTAAAGGACAAAATCTTAATATGGCACATATATGTTGTTGTAAGTATATACGTATACATTGTTAGTGCTCTTTGAATACACCGCGCCTCATAGTTTTAGTAGCGTATCATAGTTGTGTCAGTGCTACACAACAAGTCAACTACTAGTTTTATTTTTGCCCATGCGCGTGGCCAGGTAGCCGATAGGTCGTAGCTTCTTTAACCCTTCACATTGGTGCTATCTACAGTGAGACCCGGTGTGAAGGGAGTGAAATATGTGGGACCAAAGTATGAGAAATATGCTCTCCCAGGGCCGTCGAAAGCTGGTGCCGAACTTATGGCGGAGACACTTTGCTTTCCTGATATGCTGGTTTCAAACGATAGGAATAGCAGAGACGATGTTGTGCTAGAATGCGAGAAGCGGTACACTCCTGTGGTGCATATTGAACCGATAGAGATGCCCACAAAGAATGTGTGTCTCACAGAGAAGGAGAAACAAGAATTGCTTGAAAGTCAAGATCCAAATGGCGAAAGTGCAACAAGCAATATCAACTCGAGCGACACAGGCGCCAAGAAAAAGAAGAAATCGAAGGAGGAGAAGAGGCTGGAGAAAGAAATAGCCAAATGGGGTAAGACAGCGCACAGGCTTGAATCAGCCATATTCATCGCCACCCAGCATTTACAGAACGCAAAAATCAAATCCCTGAAAAACGCGCATCCGTTGCTCTCGCAACTGCAGAAAAGAGGGGCGGCGAGTATGAGAAAGACAAGTCTTAAGGCCACCAGAGGAAAACACAAGCGCGATACCGAGCCGTATGACTACAACGCGCAGGCGTGTAACAACATCCTCAACGCCGAAGGAGTGCGGGAGAGGAATTGCCATTCGTTGAATGATCTCAAGCAGTACAATCCCGATTTGGAGGGTTCCATAATGCACAACAACCAAGGCGACGTTTACGATAGGAATGGCCTGTATACAAAATCCGGCGTCCTAGATGAGCAGCGATTGGCGTATATTCTGAAGAATGGGCCGCTGAGAGGTTCGTCGGAGTCTATGCCCCGCGCGCAGTCCACCGAACCCACTCATAGCGGAGACGAGTTGCTCACACACTCTAACGCCCACGCACAGGGGTTGCCCGGCGGTGGCAGTACACACTACCAGGGTGGTCAGTTGCAAGCCGCCTGTGAAGGGAATGTGGCATCGGCTATGGAGATGCCTCGCAACTACGCCTATAGCGGCTGCAACAATTCCGAGTTTGGCAACAGTGTGGAAGATCTCAGCGTGGGCAGACCGGTGATGGAGATGGGTGTGAGCGCCTGTATGTCAGAGCTAGCTGGCGGTGCAGCCTGCCGTGGTGTGCAGTGGGATGAGGGACATAGGAAGGGTATGAGACCCGTGAACAATCAGCACCCCCCACGCGCACCCACGCCATCGCACGCACCCACGCCATCGCACGCACCCACGCCATCGCACGCACCCACGCCATCGCACGCACAGTATGACCCCGCCCATCTGACGGGCGTGCGAGAGGGATACAGCCGGTCGTCGCTGCAACCAAACAGAACCCACTCCACACATGCCCCTTCCAGAGCAGTGCCACCGACCCCACAGAAACGGCCCACGAGTAGGGCGGAGATATTGGCAATGAGAGGTCTGCGATACACAGCGAGTGCGGGCTCTCACACATACGCCGCGCCACCCGACGCGATATCCAGCATGACACAGCAGCCAGTGCACAACCCAAGTACACAGCAGCCAGCGCAAAACCCGAGTATACAGCAGCCAGCGCACAACCCGAGTGGGGGAGCCAACTCGCACAATTCCAGCAGCAGCATGCAGGAACTGGCGTCTGCCATACAGCCTAATATGCGGCCGAGTGTCGCTGGCGATACCCACCCCGGGCCAATGCCTAGGCCAAACAGTACGGACGTACGCAAGCCAGTACACCGGACACTGTCAACTCGCACTGGGGATGAGGACATGGACGTAGACAGCCCACGACGTTGGAGTGGGGAGGCTGGCGTGGCCAGGGTGAGATCAGCCAGCCAGGCCTTTACGCACAATCTGGAACGAGCGCAACTGCAGCAGAAACTGGAGGTTGTATCGTTAGTCACTGGACCACAGCCGTTTGGTAAGACTTCGGGGTCCCTGAACAACGAGAGGGTGTCCATGCCCATCGCGTCTCCGCGATCATTTGGCAGCAGTGTGCGTAGTATGAACAGTGAGGAGCACAGGTACGACTATGGGTCTGAGCATACGCTCCACGTGGGCGAGCCACAGATGAAGTACGGCCCTGCCATTACCAACGAACAAGGGACGCGATGGCATACAGTGGGTGGCACGGTTGTGAAGACATTGAGTGGCGGAGAGAGACTGTCACGGCCTAGTGGGTCGAGCCGATCTATGGATGGGATTGATGCCATGGTGTCGATGGATGTGAGTGGGAGTTGGTCTGGCAGGGGAAGCAGGTTAGAGGAACGCTTGAGACAAATCCATGCACAGCAACAACAGCAGCAACAGCTGCAGCAGCAACAACAACAACAACAGCAGCAGCAGCAGCAGGAACAACAACAGCAACAACAACAACAACAGCAACAACAACAACAGCAACAACAGCAACAGCAACAAAATCAACAACAACAACAACAATATCAACATCAACAACAACATTATCAACAGCAGCAAAATCATATGGATGGGAGTGTGCTACGTAGTTATTCGGGGGCGTATCACAACAAGGGTCATGGGCACTCTCAGCATCCCTACCATCCAAGTAGGAACAGTACAAACGCGCACGCACACAATGCGAGGGGACGGGCACTTGTTTCATCCAAGAGCCTGAATAGCATTACCACGAGTTCGAGTGATGATCTTCTCAGTACATCCATGCCGTCACTAGCAGATATCATATCACAGTCGCAGAAGTTGTACTCAGAACTGCAACAGCCGTCACTACTGCAGCCAATGCAAACTGATATGGCTGTAGACGGCGCAGCACGGACACAGACAGTGGGGACGATGGCGGATGCGTGCATGAGCACAAATAATATCACTCAATCAGATGTATACGGACAAAGTAATAATTACAACAACCAACTGTATGCCCAGTTCCTGGCCAGCAATCAAGGGGTCTTCAATGGGGCAGGGAAATTCAGTACGGGTAGAGACGGACTTGTACAAGCGAAGAAGAAGGACACCCGCACAAGTGCAGGCTTGACCAGTTTGGGTGCTGATCTGGCTCTATTGAGTGTGCTGTGTCCCGACGGGTCGCTTGGGGCTGCCATGCCATCCGAAGGTTACGGTTTGGAATGGTTAAAGGACGATGTAAGTGGAGATAGGTAAAGGAGTATTACTAGTAATTAAAGTATTTGGCCTATAGAAGTTTGCTTGTAATCTAAGCATTCCTACAATTCTCCTTGTGTGTCAGTGAGCAATTAATTCACAGGATATATATATATATATATGTGTGTGTGTATGTATGTATGTATGTATGTAAGTATGTATGTATGTATGTATGTATATATGTATA